GATAGCTTTCCGTCATTTTAGTGAGACAAATTTATTCACTGGAAGGTGTGATAATGGCTGGTATGGTTGTGAGAAAAGAGATAGGACTGTGCAAGTGAGAGTAGGAAGAGGGGGGAGAATGTGACCTTCCTCATTCACTAGTGAACCATTAGGTAAACTTAGTTACCAATGGAACTACGGTGTAGGCAGTAGGTGTTCTCATTTTAAATGCATGAATGCAAGATTTGCTGCTCGATTGGACTGTTTCAAATACTTAGGCTGGTGTAGCTGTAATGGCACACTGAAGTTGTTTCATTTGTAAGCCCAAACATCAGTCAAGAACCTTCAAGCATCAATCAAGCATGATCTTCTGTAGTGAATTTGAGATAAGTGGGATTTTTCTTTCTGCATGCGTTAACAACGGCTAAAACAAGAAGTTATCAGGATGCCTTTTTAGTAGTTTAGATTCTGGCAGGAAATAAAGGATTTTCTATATGTAATTCAGAAAGTAATACCTGGTGGTAATCAATGTTTTGTGGAAATTATACAGTATTGTGAGAATATTCAATGTATAAGTATGAAAGGAAAACAGAACTGTCTGAAGTTGCAACTGTGTTGCCTTTTGGAGATAGATATCTAAACCTTACCAGGATGTTTGCTTGAGGTGACTTGGTTTGCATTAGATCCATCATTTTTCTAATTCTGGATAAAATTATGCTTTCCCCCCTCCCCTCTTTAAACCTGAGGGAACACAGACACAGGCATTGGTCACAACCATCTTAAGCATCATCAGTTGTGCATAAGACTTAGCATTGTCCATTTGGTCAGACCTTTAATAAAGTCATTGCAGAAAGCCATAGAACTTCAGTCCTTCTATTTTTTTTTTTTAATTTTCGTTTGACTCGTCTTTGTAGAAGCATATAAAGCATATGCTCTAGTATGGTAAATGGTATACCTCAGTGTTAGGATGTTCTGTTACTGCTAAAAAGTTAATCTCTTGATTTGTCACATTTCTTGTTTTTTGCTTATATAGTAACTTGATTTAATGTAAAATAATTTCAGATCTTAATACTCTTAATTGACTGAAAGTTGTTAGCTAGATTTTATGGATTTAAATCATTGTTATGGGTTTTTTGTAAACATGTCAGTCATACCAAAGTTACTGAAATGCTGGGATGTGAAGCTTCTTGGGACCACTAGTCCACTAGTGCCAAAGCACTGTGTTATCTGATGCCAGACATGGTTTTTAAAACCATGAGACTTCTTAGTAGTTATGGTGACAAATATGTTTGTGTCAAAAGTTTGCTACTGCTGGCCTACATGCTTATATTCAGGTCTTCTGATCCTGCATTGAAAGTTTCTCCTTACTGTCTCTTATTTTTCTTCCTGCACTTTCCTTGCATCATATCTGCAGTTATTGATCTCTCTCTCTGTTTAGGAGTGAGCACTTTTGCATAGATGCAGTTAAACTATTTTCGTTACTCTAAACAGAAATGCTGCCTGAAGTTTTGAAAGGAGCAGAAAAGTTGATCTTGCATCAGAACAATTAATTAGGTTCTAACGTAAATTGTTGGAGTTTAGCGTGCAAATACATAGACACAAGGATGCAAATTAGCCCTAAGGGCACCAATCTGTAAAGACTTTCAGTGCTAGATTGTACCTTTAAATCCTGGTTTTCAGTCTTTAGCTGGTATAGTGCTACTTAAAGAGACAAAGTAATTTTTTTCTTGAAGATTTAAAGCAGCAAACATTTTAATTAGTCTTTAAAAACTAGGAAGATGCAATTCAAAGGGCTTGACTCCATGTTCTGATGGGAGGCAGTTGTATAAAGACACATGTGCATAACTAGCAGTGTCTGTCTATGGGCTGTCTTTGTCTTATCTGAAATTTCTGAAAATGTGTCAGCTCTAAGTGCGTGTTAATGTATCTTAAAATTCCTTGTTTGGAGAATGGAAGGGATCTCAAAGTCATTTACAGACACTGTGGGACGTTGTTTTCTAAGTTAACCTGCCCTTTTGCTCTGGCACTCGATCAGCACAGGCGGAACTGCTAACATGAAGGCACATTGTAGTGAAAAGCAGGTAAAAGTTGTGTTCTTCCTAGGCTAGGCAGGAAAAGTATGTGCCAGAATAACCGCCATCCTCGTCTTCCCAATGTTACAAAGTGTTAACAAATACAGGAAATGTACTTTCCTAAAAGCAGTGCAGCATGGAGGTCTACCATATTGTTCATGGTATATTTTGCTTCATTACTTGTCCCTCAAAGCATTTAACTCAATTTTTGGGTGATATAGATTGTAGTTTTGAAGTGACTTCATGTAGAAGATGCTCGCCAAATCTGTATTGTGTTTGTGTTCTCTTGTGCAGTGGATCAATGTTAAATGCTTTATGAAGCAAAAACTAATTCTGTATTTTAAGTTTTGAGTTTTTTTTCTTGTACAATCTTAACTGCTTTTTCCATGGTACAGTAGAACTTCAGTCACAAGTTTCAGTCCCTTGCAGATGCTTATAAAAATGCAATAAGTAACTAATAACAACCTGCCATTAAGTTCTTAAGGACTTTTAAAACTTGCATACTTTTTTATAGAGTGTTTTTTTTGTTCTTGTAACACATCAAAAGACATAGACTTCATATGGAAAAAACCTCTAATTCCTAAATTTTCATAAAGATTAAATTATTGTGATTTGAAGTTCTACTACGTAGTATATGTTTTATCTGTACTGGGAAATTAGTGTTTCAAGCTGACAAATCCTTGCTCTTTTTTGACAATTTTGCAGGGAACGTTTCAGGGTTTTGGCAAGTCTGTGTTTTTTAAATCTTGTTATGAGGACACATCTGTGACTTTGCAATAAAGTTCTTGAGAGAAAGCTCCATTCATGGGAAATATGCACTTAGAGCAGAGGACTTAAAGCTGGGATTCCAGTGGTCTGGTTTTGGCTTTCTAAAATATTTGGCATGTGGTATTACTGAATGGTATGTGTTTTGGCTTTCCAAAGGTGCTGCAGGTATAGAATCATAGAATGGTTAGGGTTGGAAGGGACCTCAAAGATCATCTAGATCTAGATCATTTAGGTATCTAGCTTCCATTGAGTTCAGAGGTTTTCTTAAAATTTGGCCTACTGACTTTCTCTGATTACTTCATTAGTATGAAGTTGGTATAATATTCATTAGCTATTAAGAGGCCTGCCTGTGCAAAATATATAAATAAATATGTTTTTTCATGCAGTTATTTCCATGTTAGATGTATACACAAGATTAATTTTCTTTAATGTGTATAAACTGATTACTCTATGATCAAGCTCTGCTGTGACGTGGACTTTTTACAAACTATCATTAATTCTTATGTGACTCATGATTATTTCTTTTTTACCACTGGTGGCTCACTTCGACATAACTTTCAGCCTGTTCATACAGGTTTCGTTATTTGGAAATGCTACTTTTTAAATGAGCTTTTATGTCAAACTATTTGAGAAGATGAACTTGTGCTAGTGCCTATGCTGGAGACCAAAGTTTCTAAAATATACTGAGAATACTTTATTGTATAAAACAGAAAAGAGGTGACCTCTATCATCTGAACTGAAGAGTAAAATAAATGAGAAGGTCTCTAGAAAAAGTGATAAGAGTTCTACAGTTCTATAGCAAGATCTCTTAGATCAAATGCTCTGGGTTCAGTTATTCTGCAACTAAGTTTAAATAAAGTATCTGTGTAAAAATGCTGGCTTTTTTTGAATTTGTACAAAGTTGCAGTTCAAAAAATCAGTATTTTAAATATATTTGTAAATAAAGATGTCAGAGTAAGGAAGGCAATTTCAACATCAGCTTTATAATGCAGTGCAATAGTGCTTTTACTTACGAAAAATCTTATCAATATGTAATATTTTGTTTCTCTTTTGAGTCTGTATTAGGTAAATGTTATGCTACTTGCACGTAAAATCACATCTTAAGATAATACAACTATATGACATAACAGCAATGATTTAACACAAAACTTGCTTTTGATCAAATCATTTTGTTTGGCAACTAAACTTCAAATAGTGAAATGGCTGTCCTCTGTTATGTGTTGAGGTTGCAGTATTCAGTGGTTCAGCTCAGCCAAAAGCCAGCCCAGTCCTTAACCAGTCCAAAGACAAACTGTATTAATATAAAATATATTCTTAACTGCTTTTAAGTGCAATTAAAAAACCCAGATAGCTCAGATAACTGATAGAGAGATGAGAAAAAGGGAACGCTGTAAGACCATTCAAAATAATCTATTGTTTGAGAAGAAAGTTCATCTGCTGAAAGCATTAGTATGAGTGATGCCTCCTCTCTGAGGCTCTGGAATCTCTTTGCAAGAGCTGTTTAGGCAGCAGAAATGGAAGAAGCGTAGATGAAGAAATTTAAGTTGTAGAAGCCACACCAAAAGCTAGCTGGAGTCAAGAGCTGAACACTGGTCCCCTAGTCCTCTTCTGGCCACACAGTGGGCCTTGCTGTGTTTGTGCTCTTTCCTCTCTGAAAAGGAGTTTAAAATTTTATCTTATTTTCACTGAGGGCTGCAAGTTTTGCTCCTTTTTTTTATTCCCTTATTTATTGTGTCAAGAGGCAGCTAAAATTGAATGTTTTGGGGTTTTTTTTTTTTTTCAAAATTTATTCTTTAAAGCCTGACATAATAGAAAATTAAAACCATCGTAGTAGCAAGACCAACTTCAATTTTGTTTTTTCCCTTTTTGGGGTGATCACTTCTTACAGTTTTCCTTGCTTTCTCTTAAACTATCTACTGATCATGAAAATGTTTCTTTTTTCAATAAACTGGCAGAGAATGTTGTTATAGTAATCAGTGGTGGAGTTCCCAGATGACTATATATCTCTCTTTCTATATAAATATATATAGAAAGATAAATATATGGATCTCACAGAAAGGTGATGATGATATGCAGGAAAAAAAATTATAGCATGGATTTTAACAACTTTATCGAGTAATATATTAAGATGTTACTATATCCAAGTTGGAATACTGTCAAATTCTATGTTTATATACAGGAACTTGACGAGAGGAGTTGGTAGATTTAGAGAGTTACTAAGAGCTGTTGAAACAAGAACCACACAAAATCTGCGAATGGTAAGTTATATTAAACCACATTCCTATTGCAGCATTTATATTTTAGTAGGCAAGTTAAACATAAATATAGTGGATGAGTTAGCAACAAATAATCAGATAACACAACGTATTGATCAGGATCTGTTCTCCATCGCTGTATAAGGTTACATTTCCTGGCTTAAGTGAATGATTACAATAAGAAGGAATGTTTGATGCCCAGTTTCTCCCCTATTTCTCTTTCCTGTTTGTTGTTACGATTAAAACTTGATTGTTCTCTGATTGACTGTACTTTCAACCTTAATCATAATTGCCCTAATTATGCTTTACGATAGTTTCATAACAGTAGCGTTTCATGTTTTTGTAATGTAATGGGAGTGAGGACAGAGTACAGCGTCTTTGTGTGTCCTATCAAGTTGAAAGTTATAATTTCTTTTTTTGTGTGATAAAGCCTCTTAAAGGAAAACAATAAAAGCAAAATCATGAAGACTTGTTATTTATATTTTGAGAAAATAAACCTTTGCTGAAAGTAATGTATCCTTTTTGCATTTTTTATATAATAAAAGGCCAAGGCTTATATCTTTTACTCTAATGTAATGATTTTCAAAGTGTCCAAGATTATTTTCCTAATACTATGCCTTTAAAACTTCCAAAGTAGTAATAAGGAAAGTAATTCGTTTCTTGATTCATTTAATAGCTGATTCCTAGTAAGGATATTAGAATTATTAAATAATAAACTTTCAATGGAGAAGGATAATAATGCGAACTTTAATAGAATATGATGGGCTTCTTACGGTATAGGAATTGAGGTGGAAGATGCAGATCGTATGATGCTGTTTGTGGCTTAAACATTACACATCTGTTGCTGGGAAATATTCCTGGGAAATGCTGCCAAGTCTGATGCAAATGTAGGTCTTGCCTTCATGCTGCTGCCCTGGTACTAATCTCTGAGTTTTCATCGTCGTGATATATAGTCATGCAGCTTGTATGCATATATATTAAACATGAAAGAGGAGATTAACCTTTCTATGGAAAGGTTATGGATTATAGGATGACTTCAAAGCTTTAAATTAATATTATTTACTTAAATAATATTTATATAAGTATTTCTACATTTAAATATATAGTGCCAAGAACAGTTGGATAAAATAAACTTTTCATGCGGATCTACAATGTCATTTCACTCTTGCTGAGCCTTATCAACAGTGGCAAACACCAGCACCTTGAAGTACAAGTTTTCAGGAGCCCCAGTCAGAGGAGGTTGGAACTATAACTGTTTGTGGTGGGTTGACCTTGGCTGGCTGCCAGATGCCCACCCAGCTGCTCTCTCACTCCACTTCCTTCACACGACTGGGAGAAAATAAGAGAAAAGCTTAGGGGTCGAGGTAAAGACAGGGAATTTGCTTACCAGTTACTGTCATGGGCAAAACAGACTTGACTTGGAGGAAATTAACTTACTTTATTCTCAATTAAAAGAAAGTGGGACGGTGAGAAACAAAGATAAAAACTGAAACACCTTCCCTCCCACCCCTTTCCCCAAGTTCAACTTCAGTCCTGCATTCCTGAGTCTTCTACCTGTTCTCCCTACCCTCCCACTCCCTGAATGGTGCATGGGGAGTAGGGGGTTGTGGTGAGTCCATAACAGTTCCTCTCTGCTGCTCCTTACTCCTCACACTTTTCCCCTGCTCCAGCATGGGGTCCCTCCCATGGGCTGCAGTTCCTTCAGGGAATATCAGCATGCTCCACTGTGGTCCTCTCAGCAGGCTGCAGTGTAGACATCTGCTCCGCTGTAATTCTCTCCACAGATCACAGGGAAGTATCTGCTCCACTGTGGTCTTTCCATGGAAACATCTGCTCGAGGCCTGGAGAGGTGGTAGAGGTTACTGAGCACAAGATACCTGAAAATATACCTACTTTGCTCCACTTTTAGGAGCAACAATTGGTATGGCTGATACTTCAGAAGTATCTGGATTTAACTGATAAAAATGAAAAATTGTTTTATTGTTGTTTATCTTTTCTTTGTGTTCAGAGACTTGAACTGGGTACTTGTACCTTTCAAACAGCTGTATGCATGTTTTTTTGGATGTTTTAAAATAACAGAAAACGTATTCTACATCACTAGTCTTCATTAGAAATAACCCAAGCATTTTTGAAGAGTTCGTATTCGGCTTTTCTAAGGAAAATATTTATCTATCACTTTTACAGACAATAGCAAGACAACTGGCTGAAATTTTGTTACGAGGCATGTGCGAACAGAGTTATTGGAATCCACTGGAAGATCCTCCTCACCAATCGCCTCTAGATGATCCACTTAGAAAAGGTTCAAATACTAAGAATTACACGCTCAGTAGAAGACCGCGGGTATACACTGGAGAAAAGTATGGCTGAGTTTATACCTCTCATTTCTATAATTGCAATTGTTACCCGGTGCACTGGGTAATTTAGTTTGTATTTTTTAAAATGTAGAAGGAATTGGGCGATGTGAATGGTAGTGTTTCCCATGCTCTGTGTGTGTGTGTATATATATATATATGTTCTCTGAAGAGAACTAGGGAAGCAACATGCTTCTCCGAGCAGAAGTTCGTACTGTATGCACAAGACCTTTTGTTCTCAATTCTCAAAAATATTTTTTTTTTTGTTCCATGCTGGAATATATGGTAGAGTCAATATCTCTTATTACAGCTGGGATACAAAAGAAAACATGAACTCGGTGGCGAATCTGAGATGGCACATTTTAAAAGTTGTATGCTGTTTCTAGACCTCTATTCTGCTTAATCATAGAAAGGAAAGAATTAGCAATATGGAGATTCAAATTAATCTCTGAAACATTATAAAAACCCAAATCTAGCAATTTATCTAGGACTTTCAACAGTAGTTTGTTTCCCAAGGCAGCTACCTTTTAGTCATCGTAGGTTAGTTTTGGCATTTCTTTATGATGCCACATTTTTGTAGAGTTTTATTCTGTCACTGGTTCAGATAAGTGCTATGCTATGGATCATTTTTGTGTAGCATATCCCATGGTTAAATCTAGAGTAGCTTTGGTGTGTATCCTTTTCCTCTTGAAAATGTGTGGCTTTTTTCAAAACTGATCACCATTAGTATTAAATGTAGATAGCCATTTCCTTGAATTTGAACTTAAAAGTTAATAGCTTGTTGTTTGTTTATATCTGATCAAATGAAAAATGATTTCTAAGATACAGTTGATTTCCTTGGACACACTCTGACAGTGCCAAGAAGATATATTGACTAAATTTTGCACTTTATTACAGTTCTTGGGTGTAACTTACTGCCTGAAAGTAATGTGCTTGTGTCAGAGCATGCTGGTGAAATCTTAACTGTTTGGTGCTGTCTCTTTTAATTTATTTTTTTATGTCACTGATACTAAGTTTGATCTGGTGAAACTTTGTTGCATTCTTGCTTTACATAATCTGCAACCTTTTCGCTGCTCTACTTGTATTCTACACATAAGTCCTTGTGGGATCCTGTATGTGTTTATTTAATGCAGTCAACAACTGTTGCTTGCTTATTTTGATACAGGCTAGAAAGCACTATGAGCCAGAGAACTGAGAAGTACATTGTAACAGTGGAGATAATGATCTAGGGACGACTGTGATTCGCTGTTGTAGGACAGTGCTACATAATGCAGATAGAGAAGATTGAAATTCCATTTAAACTGCAGAAAAAAAAACATTACAGAAGAGGTTGTGGAGTCTGGAGAATATCACTGGAGATATTCAAAATCCAACTAGACAATGGTCCTGAGCAACCTTCCAGCCAACCCTGCTCGAGTGGAGGGGCTGTACTAGACGATCACCAGACACCCCCTCTAACCAGAACTATTCTGTGTCATCAGTGCAATCTGAAAATCTCTTTTGAGGAGACTGTTGTCTGTTCCATATGAAATTTTTGATGCTTTTTCTCTGAAGAATTTATTATTAATTTATATTTTTGTCCAGCTGGATTAAAACCTAGGTGTTGTGAGTTTTTTAATTCCAGTCTCGTCGGACTATGTCTAGGATGTGAAGTCATTAAAAAGCAGTCTCTTGAGCTTTGAGAAAAGAGGCAAGTGTAGAGTTGAACATTCAGTTTGCCAAAACAACTACCATGTTTCTCTGCAAGTACATAGTTAACAAACTGTACATGCAGGCAACCTTTTTGGTAAAAAGGAAATAACTGGTTTGTGTGGTGATCGCTGCACTTAAAAAGTATGCATTTATTTCCCAAACACTCTCTTACGCAGAGTCACACATTTTCTATATTCAAACTACTTGGTTTCACACAGCAAATCCTAAGGAACGATCTGTTCCTCTCTCACCATAGGTATGCCTTATTAGTTAATATGAAAGTTTTTTCCATAATGTGACCTTATGTGCAAAGGAGTCCGTTTCTACTGTAGATTGCTCATAGAAGTAGTCCTGCCTTAAATTCTGAAGAGATGTTGTGTTTTAGTGTTCACAGTATCTTTATCTTATAACATAAAATACTGCGATACTGCAGGCATTTGAGTTGTTTAGCTGCATTTATTGCAGATTTCCGTTTATGAATACTTTATACAGCAGCGAGCCCACATAATTATGGTGTCGTCATTACTAGCAAGTAGAATGGCCTTTGTCTTCGAAGATTTCTAGCAATTCTCCTTCCTTGATCCAGAATACTTATAGCAGAGTTCTCAGACTCAGTCTTTCAAAGTTATGTTCTTCATTCTCAACTCGTCCTTTCATAGAAACATGCCTCCTGGCAAAAGTGAGGCTTTGTTCAGTGTAGTTTTCTTGTGCAAGTGAGGAGTTCCATGATTCCAACAGAGCATGTAATTAAGTCCTTTCTTTCGTCACATTAGAGTGATTAATACCAGATCAGATAAAACATGTCTAGCCAAGTATCTCATCTCCAGCAGTGATTGAAAGTAAACTTAAGACAATGAATAACAAGACAGACATGTAAGAAACTTCTTCCTAGGTATCCATCTGACCACCAACTATGAGTCTGAGATATACTATTTTTTTCTAAAGATGTTGCCTTATATATTAAGTAACTGCATAGTGTTCTTCTGAGGATGATGAATGTGATTTGACTAATGCAATTTATGATTTTGTAGATCTCTGTTACTACCTTTTCAGTTTTTCTCAATCCTCAGTTGAAGAACCATTAAACTTCTTGGTTTGCCTTTGGTTGGTAACTGTTTCATGCTTTCAGTTGCCTCTTTTGCGCTGCCCTGTTACCTTGGAATTACTTATATGCCTGCATCTGTCAGGAGACACAGAAAATGGCTGAGTGCAGTCAACTAAATTGATCTTTTTGCATACATAAGTAAAAGAAATTTCCCAGTAATTTCTGCATGAAGAGAATCTTCACTGTTTGAGACAAATATCAACGTATTTACCAAAATATATTCAAAGTTGTAGGAGAAAATAACGTTTGCTTTCATTTTGAAAAGTAACTTTTTAGTAGTTTTCTTTAGGGCAACTTCCCTTTTTTCTCTGAGAAAGTAATTTCTCCAGCAACTATTTTCAGTCTTTATTCTGCTTTCTGGGAACCATTGCCAGTAGTTCAGGTTAAACCTACTACTTCCAGGGTGCTAAATTCTGCACTGAAGATGGATAAGTAAATGGGGAACACTCTGATGCTTCCCGTTTACTCCTCATTCCCTGTCCAGAGTGGTTCTTATTCACGAGTAACTGTGTTTTGAATTTCTTTCTTATGTAAAAATAGCAATGTCTTCTAAGGTTTAGAATACTCTTCAAAATTTGGTGAGCAACTTACATTGATTAAAAAATAAAAATCCAACAACAAAACAACTGCCCTCAGGTCTTAGCTGCTGTATATTACCACGATATGTTCGCAATGTTGCTTTCAAACTGCTTGGAGTTCAGATGTGGTTCAGTTTCCTTTTCCTTTCAGGCGTTTAATGACTGCTTAAATTTCTAGTGCATTTTAAAAAACCCAAAAGATGTTTTAATCTCAGACAAGTTTTGTTTCCCATCTGTAATTTTTGTAGTTTAAGTACCTTTGGGACTATAGGAATTGATTATTAGCAACAAGAAATTATTTTCTACATTTAAACAGTTAATTGTGAAACTATTGGTCTGAATGTCCAAGTGGAGGCCAGTGACGAGTGGTGTTCCTGAGGAGTCAGTACTGGGGCCAGTGCTATTTAACGTCTTTGTTGGAGACATGGACAGTGGGATCGAGTGCACCCTCAGCAAGTTTGTAGATGACACCAAGCTGTGTGGTGTTGTGGACACGCTGGAGGGAAGGGATGCCATCCAGAGAGACCTCGACAGGCTGGAGAGGTGGGCCTGTGAGAACCTCATGAAGTTCAACAGGGCCAAGTGCAAGGTCCTGCAAGTGGGTCAGGGCAATCCCAAGCACAAGTACAGGCTGGGCAGAGAATGGATTGAGAGCAGCCCTGAGGAAAAGGCCTTGGGAGTGCTGGTGGATGAGAAGCTCAACATGAGCCGGCAATGTGCACTGGCAGCCCAGAAAGCCAACCGTATCCTGGGCTGCATCAAAGGAAGCGTGGCCAGCAGGTTGAGGGAGGTGATTCTGCCCCTCTACTCAGGTCTCCTGAGACCCCACCTGGAATACTGCATTCAGCTCTGGAATCCCCACCACAAGAAGGACATGGAACTGCTGGAGCGAGTCCAGAGGAGGGCCACGAAGATGATCTGAGGGCTGGAACACCTCTGCTATGAAGACAGGCTGAGAGAGTTGGGGCTGTTCAGCCTGGAGAAGAGAAGGCTCCAGGGTGATCTTATTGCAGCCTTCTAGTATTTAAAGGGGGCCTACAGGAAAGCTGGAGGGGGGACTTTTTACAAGGGCATATAGCGATAGGACAAGGGGCAATGGCTTTAAATTGAAAGAGGGGAGATTTAGATTAGATCTAAGGAAGAAATTTTTTACTCTGAGGGCAGTGAGGCACTGGAACAGGTTGCCCAGAGAAGTTGTAGATGCCCCATCCCTGAAAGTGTTCAGGGCCAGGTTGGATGCGGCTTTGGGCAACTTGGTGTAGTGGAGGGTTTCCCTGCCCATGGCAGGGGGGTTGGAACTAGATGATCTTTGAGGTCCCTTCCAACCCTAACCATTCTATGAATGATCAGGAAATGTACTTGTGCTAATTCAGAAACAGTTTAGTGGAAGAAATTTGAGGAGTTAACACAGCCAGTGGTTGGGGTTTTTTTGTGTGTGTGTGAGAGAAAGAATGAATGAAATCCTACCAGCCATGTACCCAGTGCGGATTACTGTTGTCTGTCCAGCAGCATAGAAAAGTATTCAGAAAGCATCCAGTGTTCAGAGAACGTCTGCAAACTGGTCTTATGCAAAATTTCAGCATTAAGTCATAAGGAAGTGTACTTCATTAAAAACAAATATTATAACTACTTGGAAGGAACAGTGGTTATGGCAAGCAGGCAGAGGTTGCCATGGCTCTATTTAAAAACATTCACAGCTTGTGAATGCACCAGGAAAATGATTCTCAAGCATATCTGATGAAAGACTAATAGATGCCTAAAATACAGAGGTTATCTTGTTCTTATGAGTTTCTTGTGGCCGATCTTTAAATCAGTGATATAGATTCAGCTCGGATAGATTAGGTGTCAGAGGCTAGTTAAACTACGGGTACAGTTTTTACACTTGTCAAATTACATGTAATTTTAGGATATTTGAATGTGTTCAACTCTGACAGCTGTGATGGTTTTGTTCTCTCACTGTGTTTGGCCAGTTTCTCTGAAATGCAAATTTAGAGCATTGCAAAGAAATGCATTTTAACTAATCATTTTTTCTATGCAAGTTACTCTCTGTTCTCTTTTCTGGAAATCTTCCAATTTTTGCAGTACTCTTATTACTTTTAGGAGCAGCTTCTACTAATATATTATGTTCTGCTTAAATAATTAAATTCTCATTTTCAACAGCATCTTTTGTCCTCAAGAAAACACAGAAGAAGCCTTACTGTTGCTGCTTATTAGTGAATCTATGGTAGGTAAAATAGAGTGAATGTGTGTGTGCTGTGTGTGTTTTGTTGTTTGTTTTTTTTTTAATGAAAATAGAAATTTTTTTAATCATGCCTTTATGACTTGTGTTTCATTTTCTGTTAGGAAAGCAGGCAGTTACTTCTGAAACTCAAGCTTCTGTTCCTCTGAGCCAATGAGATGAGGTCTTCAAGTGTTATGAATAGGAGTTTTTCTCCTTTAGAGTGTCTGAACTCTAGCCTCCTCCTAACCATAGGCAGGTGAACACAAAGCCAGGTCTTTCATTTGGCATCAGTTGTCAGTATGAACCACTGTTACACCAGCTGGTTACCGTTCAGACTCAAAATGTAAGTTACTTTTGTTGTAAAAAACAAATTGAAGACTATTAGATGATCATAATAAATATAGCCAAAAAGTATTTTCTGTTGTGCATTAAACCTCAGGTGTCACCCAAATTTGTAAATTATTTTTAAGGATACTGGCATTTGGCCTTTGCTACTGGATTATTATTTTAATGTCCTCATTTCCTCAGTTTGTAATTCCTTTCAGTGGCCTACTTGTGCCTTTTATCAGCCCCATATATTTTCCTCTGGTATGATTTTACTAGTCATCTATCAATTGATAGATTGACATTCTAATACCGGGTCAGTTATATGTTCTCAAATAGCAGAAGTGAAAAGGTGAAGCTGGAATTTTCACTATTTTTCTAAATAAGTGGAACCTCTAGCATCTGAGGCATCATATAGTAGTCTGTCTCACAGCTTTCATGCTCTGGTATAGTTTCTGTTTTGATAGAGTTAAATAGGATCAGAACATTTTAGTGAATGTTCTCCTATTTGAACTATTATAAAATGGCAAACAAGTTACATTGTAGTGTGAACTACTTTCTTCATTCCTAGTGATCTGCCTTGCAATGTTCATGACAGAATCTGTCACCACAAAACTAGACTAAGCAAACATGTCCATATATCATATGCTGGTTTTGCTGCAATGTAAACTGTCCACTGACAGGGGCTGCCTGTGCCTCTATAAGGTGCCTGAGCAGCTTCTGGGGATATATAGAATTCTGATGTGAGCTGTGGTCATGGTGTGAAGTGAAAGCAGTCCCAGTTCTGCAGGATTTGACTACTGATTACTGTAATTGCGTGTGTACTTCCTTGCATATAAGCATTAAGAAGCAAAAAAAAACCAAATTAAAAGTACTGCCCTGTTCAGTCTCGTTTCAGGTTACTTACACCTTTTCCTTTGTGAATTGGATCTGCCTAATTATATCAAATGCTTGTCACTGTAGAGCATATTCCCTTAGCAAGCTTTCAGTATTGTTTTTCTTCACAAGAAGTTGCAGGTTATCTGAGGCAAAAGAGTCTGTTGCAGGGGAGTATAAAATCTTTCATATGATTGACTTACTTCGGCTAAGTCATTTGTTCAGAGTCGTTTTGGAGGGGGCAAAGGGGAAGATTGTAGTGATGAATATTTTTATGCTCAAACTTAGCTTTCTGGTAGTTGAGAGCTGTTACTTCACGTTCAGTGCATGCTAACTTTCTAGCTGTAGTATTTATGAAGTAGCATGTGATTTATGATTTTGAAAATGGTATTTGGGAAAGAAATAAGAGCAGTTACAGAAGACAGTGTAATCATTGGTGTTTTGAGATGGTATTGTGTTACTAAAGTAGTATGATCCCTTCCTTCCATTGTCTGTGAATTAGTAAAAACACAGATAAGGTGTCAAGACTTATGTCCTTCAAGAACTTATTCAAATAAATGTTGGAAAACAGAATGAAAATCTGACGTATAAGTAGCATTTTGTGTAAGTAAAAGTAATCAAATCACTGTGTATATACGAGCCCTAAATGATACTGCTGGTTTCAGGGAAGTAGTGCACTCTAACATCATAACTTTCTCTTACTTAAATTAGATCTAGTGCAACATATATCCAGAAAATTGAATCTTGCTAGTGGATTGCAGTGCTACTTTTGTGTGACCTTGAGTTCCCTTAATTTCCAAATTCAGAAAAGATGCTTTGATTAAGATTTAAATTGTAGTATTTATGAAAGAAATGCTCTGGGAAAGATAGTGCTGGGCTTTTCAAGTGTTCTAATTCTCTTATAGGGTTCAAACTAGACTACAAAATGACTCTTTTAGCCACATGACTGCTGCTACAGTGTATTGTCAGGCTTAATGAGGGAAGTCAGCTGCAACTCTGCCATCATTCTTACTGTAAGACATCCTTGTGTTCTAGCTGTTACAGTTGCAAAGTATAGACCAACCTTTCCTTATCCAGGCAGGAATGGGTAGAAAGGTGGGATCTGAAGGACTGACATCTTCACATTACAGTGCGTGTACATGTTGCTGCATATTGGTTGAGCTGTAGTAACAGTCACAGAATAATTGAGGTCAGAACTGATGTCTGGAAGTTATTCTGTCCAACCCCCCTGCTCAATCAGGGCCACCTAGAGCAGGCTGCATCTGTGTTGAGATGGCTTTTGAATATCTACAAGGAGGGAGATTCCACAACTTTGCTGGGCAACCTGTGCCGGTGCTCAGTCACCCTCACAGTAATAAAAGTGTTTCCTGATGTTGAGGGAATCTCCTGTGTTTCAGTTTGTGCCCACTGCCTGTGATACTGTCACTGAGCAGCACTGAAAACAGCCTGACTCCCCCTTCTTTGTGGCCTCGCTTAAGGTATTTTTACATATTGATAAGGGTCCTCCCCAAGCATTCTCTTCTCCAGGCTGAAAAGTCCCAGCTCTCTCAGCCTTTGCTTGTAGAAGAGATACTCCAGTCCCTTATTCATCCTAGTGGTCATTTGTTGGACTGTCTCCAGTAGCTCCATATCTCTCTTGTACTAATGAGCCCAGAATTAGAACCAGTGCTGCAGGTGTGGCCTTAGCAGTGCTGAATAGAGGGGGAAGATTGCCTCCCTCGACCTGCTGGAAACACTCCTGCTCATGCAGCCAGGGATGCCACAAGCTGTCTTTCCAGCAAGGCCACATTGTTGGCTGCTATTCAACTTGGTGCCTGCTAGGACCCCCAGGTCCTTTTCTGCCAAGCTGTTTTCCATCAGGGTAGCCCCAGCATTTACTGGTGCATGGGGTTGTTCCCCCCCAGGTGCAGGACTTTGCACTTCCAAGTCTTTGTTGAAGCCTTTGATGAGGTTCCTGTCAGCCCATTTCTCCAGCATGTTGAGATCCCTCTGGATGGCAGCACAGCCCTTTGGCATATCAGTTTTTCCTCCTAGTTCTGTATCATCAGCAAACTTCCTGAGGGTATGCTCTGCCCCATCATGCAGATCATTAATGAAGGTTTTGAACAGTATCGGACTCAGGATCTGTCTCTGGGGTACAGTGCTAGTTACTGGCCTCCAACTTCATTTCCCTGATCACCGCCTCCTTATGTGTTATTCTTTGCTAATGGTAAAATGGCTGAGCATATCCTTTCTTCCAGTGTGAGTGAACTAAGTTACACTCTTCACATTTGCCTCGGGCTTAAAGTGTGTATAGGGTAAGTGTGGCCAGCTGACACATTGCAGTTTAACTAATCATCATTTTATTGTGTCTGAGACCATGGCAGTTCTGAAACACTGAGCACTTAAGTTTGTACATACATTCTGTCTTGTTATTTATGTTCAAATATAGAAGATATCTTTAATACTTACAAAGCATCCTCTCGTAGGATACTGCTTTGGCATTGTCACTCATTTTTTCACAAGAAGTGCTAGTTCATAGATTGTTCTGTACTTGCAAGAAATTGAGTCAGAGTGTGATTAAATGTCGGGAAGAAGCTCTTGAAGCTGACTAAATATTTATGAAGCGTAGAAAGAAAAAGCCAAAAACTTCTTGATCAAAAGAAAGCAAAAATGTCTGTTTTGGGGTGGGCGTGCAGGGGTGTGTGTTTTCAAACCAAGCTGTGGATTATTCAGTTGGTAATTCCTGAAATGTCTGTGCATTTTACGCTCCATGTTTCTCTTTGAAAATTTCTTTCAATATTTAATTATTCTATTTTAAACATTGAGTATGTTTAGAGCTTAAAATCTTATCCTTTTAAAGCAGAGAAACAATTTATTATCCCTTAATGTGTGTCTTTCCTTGCCTATGAAAAAGAGGGAAGTGAGCTGACCATTAAAATTTAGTGTATTTAAGTAAATGTATTAAGGGGGCAATGCTCTGTGTAATTAAAAAAAAAAAAAAAGAGAGAGAGGAGTCAGACAGAGAAAGATTGTTCACTTCTGACTTCAAACTACCGGATATACTAGCATCATTTGTACCAATGGGAATACTAAATATCAATAAATCTAGAAAAAGATAAGATATCGAGATGAGGTATTTTCAGAGGCTTGATGGTATAGTGGGAGAAGTACTGAGTAGTTCAATAGAGGCAGCCTTAGCTACCAGGAGACCTGAATTTTATCCTTTGCTCTTTAAAAAAATTTCTTTGTGAACATGGTCAATTATTTTAATCTAGTTCTAGGTCAGCTTTCTTCCTTCTTGAGAGGAAGAGTTTAATTAAGGAATTAGGTTTGCAACGTGCCTTTCACAAAATGGGATTGAAAGTACAAAGCCTTACTGCAAACATGGTCCTGTTCCAAACCCTTGCTCAGAAACAGGGACAGTTTTCACTTCTTGCTAGTAACTCCTGAAGGTGGTTGTGTGGTTGTCATGGGCATGTTACCACTCACAAGTGAGCGGATAGTGTTGCAATGTTATGAAGAGTAAAAAAATTGATTGCCTTATTTTACAAAAGCTGGAATAGAGGATTTCAAGATCCTTCTAGTATGTTTTACTAGCATACAGAAAATAAAATAAGAGAGGAATATACATTATTAAAATTCTAAAAAAGTATTTGATTTCTGAGAAGTCTTCAATGATTTTAAATACATTACCTATGTAATTAGAATAAAGTAATTAAAAATACATTCATATAGAAACATAAATTTTACCCCTAATGTATAAAATTTGTGATTCTTGCTATTTGTAAATTAGTAGCAGATACTATCTGTATCACCTGTATCAACTGCTGACTGTCAGTCTGAATAGAACAGTAGTTACTTGAGCAAAAATACAGATTGGATTACAATGGCTGACTTTGTTTCTTTTTTCATGGTATGTTTCAGGCTAACCGTGATGCTGTACTGAGCAGAATACCAGAACACAAAAATGATCGTATTATCAGTTTGCAAAGTGCATCTGTAGTCTACGATTTACTTACTATAGCCTTGGGAAGAAGAGGCCAATATGAAATGCTCTCAGAGGTTTGTTGATAATAGTGAATATTCAAGTGTGTCTTTGTTTGTTAATTCTATTAATCATATTAATTGTGGTAGTACTTAAGGGCTAAACAATTAAAGAGCACTGTCATTCTGACTACTGTATAAATACAACAGGTAGTTTCCACCCCCAAAAATTTACTATCTAAATTTATGCAAATGTCTTGAGGTGATCAAGCACAGAAATTGTGAAAAAGGTGTGGTAAATATTTAATGGAACAGAAATTCACATGATTTTTATTCACGGAGGCATGGATCTGCTTAAAAGGATACACATTAAATGGAAACAGCAGGAAGGAATGGCAAAAGATCAAAGCTGTTGTGGATTTAAATGATAGATATAAATATCTAGAAAAAGAATTTGTGATGTTTTATTTCGAAAGAAAAATTTCTTTTACACCTCATAATATTTGGAGTGCTCCAGAGTCCTTGTAGTTCGTAAAATGGCTTTGAAGTTAATAAAACAGAAATGTATTACTTTTCCAGGTCTGTAGGAAAGTGTGTTCTCTATCTCAAATGTCTCGTGTTTGATTATGCAACTTGAATGTGTTTTGTTAGATTGTGGCGACTTAAATTCTTCAGGAAACTTTTGAGTATCATTAACAGTTTCATACCTGAGAAACAACTACAGTACTTCGGGCAGAGCAGATCTTTCTGCTGCTCAAAACAGTGCTCACCCAGCAGCAGGGTACTGTTGCTGACCATGATTAGTTATTGGTATCCAGAAGGAATACTTTAGCATGTGTGGTAGGAAGGCATATCCAGGGATTGATTTACTGAGAAATGGTTTCTCTCCACCATAATAGAGGACTTTTAAGTTAAAAATGAAAAAATAGCTCCAGTTCTTCTCTGGTATATGTTGATAGTCACCCTTTAATCTACATCTCCTGTGATATTAAGCTCTAAATTCGGGTATTCTTCTTCTTGAAAGTACTTCATAGCTGCAAGTTGTGCATACAAGTCTGTTTTAATCAGTACAATAGAAAGTCTTTCACCAAAACTAAGGAGAGTGAAAGCTCATACAGGACTGTCATCCTACAACATAATCTAATCAGGAATATTTCCATTTACTTGCCACTATAGACACTTTTGCCTTTGTGGAGTTTTAGGTGATTGCACCAAGGCTGCAAGAGATGATTCTCCATATATTTTAGTCTAGAACTTTTTGAAGGATAAATATTGACACATATTTAAAAAAAAAAACAGAACAAACAAAACTAAACCAAACCAAAATATAAAAAACCCACATACAAAAAAAAAAAAAGAATTGAAAAGGTGACTCTGATTTCTTTTTTTCTTTAAGCATCTGGCAACCTTTCCTTTTACATACTTGCCTAGCAACTAGGCAAGCGTAGTGTAGCCTTGGGTTCCGGTTCTGATTCTTTTGTTTTGCTTGTTATGTCGTGGTAGTTTGGGGTCTTTTCTAGTTTTTTGGGGTTTTTTTTAGACATTAAACACATTTTATCCATTTATTAAAAATAATTTATCCTTTTTATTAATGGAACATCACAAGATCCTTAGATTCCTCCGCTATCTCATTTGAGACACCTTGCATAGTATTTGAGTCACAATAGATTCAACTTCTTGTTTGCAATTCTTCCTGCCTTTCTTAATAGAAAAATTTTTTGGCTTCACCAGGAAAGCTAGCAGTGTCTCTGTACTTAGCCATGTGTCTTGAAGTCTAGGATGTTACCCAGAAGGATAGGAGGAATGTTTTATAGTCCCCTCACATAGAGAAGAGCGTAGAGCTTGCTTCCCTCACTGCTTGTGTGATTGGTTTAGCTCCTGTAGCTGGCGGATGAGTACCACTCCCTGTTCCTTTTTCTTCTGTATTTTGAGCACAGTCGAGTGTTCTAACGCGTGGAAGATGTTTTAACTTGACTTAGACCATTGGTTTCAGTGGCTTTTAGAAGTTGCTTGTGCTGCTGGTGATCTTGGTTACAGACAAAAGCAGAATTGTGAGTATCTGGAAAGTTAAAGAGCCTCCATGTTTGACCAGCTGCTTAGTTGAGGGTTTTTAGCCACTGCCTTGGGCTTTGACACCTGAAGTCTGCATAAGGCTGGTTTTAAGGTCTTTTCTTCTTTTTTTTTATTCTAGGTCTAGCATCTTTGTAGTTATATTCCATAAAAAATTGTATGTATATTCTTTTGAAATATTCTCTTTGAAAAATAGAAAATAATTCTTATGTGTTTGAAAAATAACTTTCAATACAGAATAATTAAAATGTATTTATTATATGTCCATGAAGTATCTATTTTGAACATGAAAAAAATAATCTTATGAAGACTCAGTATAATAGACTACTTATTTTAGCATACACATACTCTAGATACACAGTTGCAGCAGGATCTTATCAGGAAATGGTTAGACCATCTCGTTTGTTCCAGTTCTCGTCATCCAAAGCACAGGGGAAGACATAGACTTTAAGAAACTCTTACAGTTTAGTGAGTGGTTAGAGGATATCTGTCCTCAAATCCTGCGGCTTATAGTCTGAAACTTTTATAACTGAAAGTATTACAATAGAAACAAATTCAGAAGTGTAAAAACATTCTCTTCAGTTATGTAATAGGCATATTTTTTTTTGACTTGCTTCATTCGCTGTGAGCTAATTACGATTGCTCTAGTGGAGCTGTTGTAGCTTCAAGTCAGAAAATACCATTATTCTAATGGTGGAAATGGTATTCACCTGCCAGTTCCAACATCTTATTACCATCTCCTGGTTTAGCTATAGCTGATATAGTTAGTTGTGATATAAGAATATTAAATGATCAAAAATGTGTCTCATCCCTGTTAAACTGTTCTAATGCTGAGTCATGTTTTTAACTGAAAAGGTCTCATTTCTTTGTGGAGTTTGTATACAATGGGCTTTCAATTTCATACAGCTTCTTCAACTAGACCAAAAGACTTTCTACTGTCATAATTCTTTCCTAAACAAAAATACTCTGACTGTCATCAAGTTGGTTTTTAAACTTTGTAGGATATGACATATTAAGCTTATCAATGTCCTACTAGGAGAGATGTTTTCCAGACCAGAAATTTTCCTATGTAGTCATCTTTCCACTCTCCAACTTCAGGCATATTCTTTTCAGGAGGCCATAGTGCTAAGCAACAAAATTCAGTAACATGTTCAACATTACCTGTCCATATAGTCATTTGTGATTATTCACAAGGCAATATCAACAGTTCCATTTCTACCTTTCGGGAGAGCGATTGTGCTGAATGTGTTTTCAGTTAGTTAAGTCAGTTGCCATTATCCTGAACGTTATCTCAACTTGCAGTTTTCCAGGGTACTATTGCTCGTTATGTGTTTCTTATTGATTTCTTGATGGAGCCTGTCACTCTTCGAAATTACTTGTTGCTTGGTTCAGAAGAATGCAGTTTGAGGTGTTCATGTCATGTACAGGTCACATACACGTACATATGCACATATATCCCTTACCTCTCCACATGCTAACCACCAATTTTGTGATATAAAAAAAAAATAAAATCATGTTAACTTGTCACATTTCATACTGAATGAAGCCAAGTAAATAGAACTTGAAGTCAAAGAAAAAGAAGAGTAAGTAGATCATTAGTACACTGAAATTCAAGCCTTTGAGAATAATCGGCAATTTTGTCCTGTGTCTCTATAAGTGAAAAATTATAAAAACATGAAGTATCAAATTCTGCAACGTCTTTATTTTCTGCCAGCTAAAATGAGCAATTTTTAATTAAGCAAGGTGTAGAAAATAAGATTTTTATTTTTCTAATTATGAACAAGTACCTCTATATAATTAATGCACGAGAAGAAAGTATGATTAGGCAGCCCAAGAAGTTATAAACGTATTTTGACTTTAAGTTCTACGTTTACATGAACCACTTCTTTATGTGGATCTGGGATTTACATAGCTGCTGTAGGTCAGAGTTCTGGAAGAAGAGCTGAAATTACTTATATGTAAAACACTGGTATCAAAACAAGTAGAGTGAGTCGTATTTGAAAAGATAAATGTGAATTCATTCTTCATTCAGAGGCACTTCGTTTAGCACCATAGTTGTATTAATCAGTGGTGAGAGAAAGAGGGATTTAGCAACTAATAGGAAAATAAATAGGATAAAATAAATAGGAAATAAATAAATAAAAGGAAAATAAATTCTGTGGTGGTTTTTCTAACAGATGTTTAATTAACTTACTACACATACAATCTGATGATAAACTTTTAACAACAGTATTAGAATTTGTTTTTAGAAACTTCAATCCTTTATGATAGTTAATAAAAATTCTGTTTAATAATAGTCTTGATACTGGACATTGTGTAGTAGGAAAAATTGTAGCATACATTACTTATGTGTAGCAAATAATGCATTCCTTGCATTTGTTTTTTTTATTCTCTAGTGCTGTTCTTTACTTCAGGTTCTGTTAAAGTGTGGGAAGATGCAACACACCTGGCTGTGCTTTCTGTAATGTTAAGGCTGAGTTTCAATGTGAAAAATAATTCATGGTATCGCACTTTAGCTATACACTATAGCTATCAGAGCAGAAAACCGGCTTCATGTAGTTGGACTCTGCAGACTAGAAAGTTAATTGCTAAATCAGTTTAATCCAGAAAGTGTTGCATCTTTCGACTCTCTGGAGCTGGCCTGATTAGTAAAACTGAGCATAGCAAAATGAAATAATTCTTACTGACAACAGCAGATATGAAACTTTCAAAATTAGCATGTAATGCTAATTTAATATGTTTAATCTCAGTGTATTAATAATGAATTTCCTTTTGGCATTCAGTTAAGTTGAAAATCTCAGCAGAATATTGAGTGTGAAGTTAAAATTCTTAAAAATAGAAATAATAGTGTCAGGTGAACTTGTATCACTACCCCCCACCACCTTTTAAGTGGTACTGATAAGTACTTGTAGTGCTATTGCTTGTTAAGTATTCAGAATTTAGGAAGAGTGTGTGTACAATTCCCCTTTTCACTTAAGACTTATCTCCTGCCTTTTGCAGCTGGTACCTTCAGTAAGCTGGTGGTTATCATTCCTTCTTTCAGATTAAATCGGACATACCAGCAGGAGTATTTAAACAAACATAATAAATGGGAAATCAGTTTTCTGTTCAATTCTTTCTTTCCATATAGAATCTGGCAACTGTTTTTACTTAATGTATTTGAATGATTAAATTTTTTTATTACATATGGTTTAGGTATGAATCTATAAGAGAATTTTTATACTAGTCTATCTTCTTAAGAATTGGAGAATATGCCTTTAAATTACGATTTTCCCTCCAAAATTAGTGTTTAGAAAGAGCCATGAAGTTTGCATTTGAAGAGTTCCATCTCTGGTATCAGTTTGCATTGTCCTTGATGGCAGCAGGAAAAGTAAGTCTTAATTTTCTGATGTAATTCTTCTATTGATGACTTTTGATAACAATATTTGGCACTTCTGTAATTTTCATCTGTAGTGTTTTCGAAAATAATTCTAATCCTTAAATCACCAAACTGTGCTTCTGAATTTATGCCTAGTGCTGTACAAAGAATGTTGTTATTTCAATAGTTTCTAACTTAGGAAGACTGAAAGGTGATGATAAGAGCTGTCTTGCCAACAAGCTGAAGCTAAGCTAATTGAATGTAAGTAGGGAATTATATGAGATCATGTTATCCAGTAACAACTTGTTTAGGTGCTGTTTTGATGAATGAATTTTACACTTAGGTACAAATTAACGCTGATTCATGATGCACTTTTTTTTTTGCTTTGGCAATTTCTGACTGTCTTTAATATTACTGTCTTTGAGAGTGTGTATTCTGTGCAATTAAAGTGAGACAGATTTGGTTTTTTTGTAATTGTATACCTAAGAACTTATGTTATCGGATGCAATCTTTTTTCCATTCTTTTTGTGTTTCTCTCATGTTACAGAAAATAAATCACCATTATATCATGTAAATAATACTAGTTTTCTAAAAGATCATTCTCTATGGGGGGAGTTTGTTTATATGCAGTATGGGGGAAAGGAATGATTTGTATTTTCTGTAGAAAATATTTTTAGAAGCACATTGGTTTTGGAAAGGCTTCAATCTTCTTCCCATTCTCTGTTTACTTTGTGTTCTAAACTGTGATTGGGTAGCGGCAAATGAATTTAAAAAAGAGGAGCAGTACCAGTCTGTTGTACAATCTTATGTCAGAGCTATTCCTGAGTGCTGTCGTAACTCCCAAAGAACACTAAAACACTGCTTAATCTGAGGACTCTGTCCTGTTCCTGCTCTTTCATTTACTTGGCTCAAATGCTGTGAACTTACAGTTCTGGCAAAGTTTTAAATAAATCTCAAAACTGTTTCCTGAATCCTGTACCATTGGAATTACATTCTGGGCAAATGTTTCACTGGGGGCACTTAATAATAGTTCATCGGGGTTAAATAATAGCAGCAGTGCCTAAAGGTTTGTGTTTCACTTGCTTGAGGATTATGACAAATTGTCAACAAAATGTTTAGTAATGTCTCCTTCACATGGGAAAAAAAGTTAATGATGGAAAAAGAATCTTCTATCTGTGAAACATATTTACAGTTTTAGTAATTTCAATGGAAAATGTTTTTTAACAGTCTGCTCGAGCTGTTAAAGTCTTGAAGGAATGTATACGTTTGAAACCAGATGATGCAACTATTCCACTCCTTGCTGCAAAGCTCTGTATGGGATCTCTCCACTGGGTAAGCTTTGCCACTCTTCATCTTTTCAGCAAGAGCGGTGCTAAAATGCAGCAAAATCTTGGTTTAGGGATGTAGCAAATACTTCTGCACAGTGACTACATGCACTTGGTCATCTCTAAAAATACAGCGCAGATACATGTATGCACAAGTACATCCCTGTTTGGCTAATTTAAAATATTTGACAGCAATGGTTATATTTATGAAGGTAGCATGTTTTGATACTGATCTAAGACATAGCTAAAAATGTGTTAGAAATTGAAACGTTGTTGGCATACAGAGATTCAAAACGCAACTTAGACTTCTGTTTCCTCTGTACAAATCTCTTGTATTCAAGAGACTCTTCTGGTGATACCATGTTTGCAGGCAGCTGGGATCTATGAATTCCAAGTGGGGACAGTGTCTTTTTTTAAAAAGTGTTACTTGAGTTGTGTTTTACATAATCTTGAAATTGGTGTATCTGTACTAAAAACATTAAGGTGATCAAAGATCATCGTGTGGTTTTCAAGATACACGTGCAATTTTTAGAAGAATGAGTGTATTTTAAAGAGGAGGGAAAGGTCAAAATCAGAAATTTAAAAAATAGTGTAGTAGCAAAACCATAACTTGTTGAGGCTGACAAAAATACAGTCTTAATTATTAACGTAGATCCTAGTTCTGTGAATTGTTCCCTATGGATTGACTCCGTACGGAGTAGCTTACTGTACTTAGCATGCCATACTAGCACTGGAATGGATTCAAATGTAATTTTTTTTCTTTCTACGTTGTTAAATAGCGTGCTAGCATGGGTGTGCAGTTAAACCTTGATCTGTTACATATTTCTCTAGTTATGAGTTCGCACACATTCAGCAATACTGTATGTGATGTAGAGTGCTGCATGACTATACTTCTTTTTGCAGGAGTGGAGCCATAGTTGTTGTAAGAGATTTTCCTAAAGAAATGTGGCAAGAACTGTATTTATGAAATGCAAAAGTGGTAGATGGCATATATGGACCAGAATTTAAAAAAAAAAAAAAAGACAGGAAAAAGGCAAACCACAGTAGTTTAGAATCATCTGTGTGTTATGTGCCAGAGTTTCTCTCAACTATAGGAATGGGTGCTTCAGCTTAAAGTCTGTGGTCTTTACTCAGTATTTAGCAGGAAAACTAACTTTAATGAAAAATGAAATGAAAAAAACGATCATGGCTGAGATTTCAACAGACTTACTGTGCATAATACACATACTGTACATACTTCTCATTATAATGTAAGATTTAGCTAGTTTTAGATTTACATGGATGTTTTATAATATTTTCAGTTGGAAGAAGCTGAAAGATTTGCCAAAACAGTTGTTGATCTTGGGGACAAAACATCAGAGTTCAAAGCAAAAGGCTACTTGGCACTGGGATTGACTTACAGTCTGCAGGCTACTGATGGTAAGATAAGAATAAACAATCACATCTGGAAATTCCCATGTTGCCTATAAAAGAATACCTAACGGAACACTAGACTTAAAATTAAAGCTTCTGTGTGCAACCAGTTTTTTTCAGTCAATGTATTAAAACTTCTTCAATGAGCATGCGGAATGAAATCTCTTGATCTTGCGTATTACTGATTAAATATATCCTTTTTAGCATCTTTGCGAGGGATGCAAGAGGTCTTGCAGAGAAAGGCTCTTCTTGCGTTTCAGAGGTGAGTGGGTGTTAATATTTTCATTTCATTCTTTTACATGTAGTGAAAAGCTTTTATTATGTGTTAAAAAGAGGGACTTGTAAAAGATTGTATAATGAGAATTTCACCTCTGGGAATCTCCCTTCATGAGTACAGAGTGCATTTCTTTAGCATTTACTTCATTTTCTGCCAGAAATAGCTGAATTGACTTCTAAGGAATTCCTTTTATTTCATTTTAAAGACATTGGTGGTGGTGTTTCATATAAAATATTTGCTCAAAGGAGTGTTCTAATCTAGAAGAGAAAACGGTATGATGCAGGCTTTCAAGTCACGGTTCAATGTGGTGTTTCTAGAAGAGCTGGTCGCTGATCAGACTGTGTGGAGCAGGCGTTTGCAGCTATCTCTGAAGAGGCAGAGCAATAATTGAAGCCCTGGTGCTGTGGATGAGGAGTGCAATGCAGGTAGTAAGGTACTAAGCTAGGGGGAAAGAAAAAAATTGTACCTGGAGATGTAACAGTGTAGGCAGTGACAACACCAATGCCCTGTCCTCCATGTGCCTTACTTGTAGTGCTGTTGGGGATAGCAGGAGTTCATTCTCAAGGGTTTGACTCTGCAAACGAAATGACAACAGGTGGATGAGAAACATCTCTACTCTAGTTATAGAAGAAACAAATCTTTATGGCAAAGCTGGCAGAATCATAAGTGCTGCAGCATCTAAGTATGTCTCTCATGTCTCTCATGTTTATGTACCCTTGAAACCCCTACTTTGATGAGATAGGCCTAAACGCTTCAGGGAAGCTGATTCGTGCATTAATGTGCATACAAAGTCTCAGATTTTTGTTGGTGATTTTCTGTCTGAGGGAACAGGGTTGAAAGTGTTTTGCAAATAACTGGAGTGAGGCTGGTGTGTATTGATCCTTCCTTTTTCTGGCTTGTCCTAACTATTCCTCTGTATGTAAATATGTTTTAGCACATCTTTGCTCTTCCAGTTCTTTAATGGTTTTAATAGTTATTTATTACTTCAGCATTCTTTCTCCATGTTGAAACTGAACTTGCTGCCTCCTTGCTTTATACTTCAGTTCCTCACCCATCCCTCTTACTGCTGATTACTCCTCACTGTTACAAAATTACTGTGTGGTGTGGTTTAACCCAGCTGCTCGCTCACCTTCCCCCACTCCCTGGGGAATGGGGAAGAGAATAAAAGGGGAAAACGGAAAGAGATTCGTGAGCCAAGATAAGAACAATATAATAATATAAAATAACAATAATGATGATAATATATTAATATATATAATGGTTATAATATATAATGGTAATCTAATATAATGGTAATTTAATATATAAATAATAATATATAATATATAATGGTAATCTATACAAACAAGCGATGCACAGTGTAATTGCTCGCCACTCGGTGGCAAACACCCATCCTATCCTGGCAAGCAATCCCAAAACAGATAAGTCCCAATACTGCAATCTCAGATGAGTGAGAGGCCTGAAATGAGAGCAAGGGAGAGAACTAGGAGAGAATATCCCAAAAGAGAGAGAACAAATGAACTCCCAACTTCCTGGTCAACCTTCATCTATATACTGGGCATGACACTGTGTGATATGGAATATTCCATTGCCCAATTTGGCCGTCAATCCTAAATCTAAGTTCAAGTCATACGGGGAGTTGTCGGCCCTCTGTCCCAGCTGTGCTCCCCCACCGCCTGCTGTGCACCTGCACACTGGCAAGAATACGGGAAGCTGAAAAGTCCCTGGATATCTCAGCATCAGCTATAAACACCAGTGCACTATCAATAGTCTTCTCATAACAAGTCCCATTCTAAATCCAAAACACAGAGCTATTCTAGCTGCTGAAAAGAAAAACTAACTCTGTCCTAGCCAAAACCAGGACACTGTACTAACCATTTAACACCATTTCTACCCATTCACTACTTTTGAGGTTCTAATAATGAATTGCTTTCTTCTGCTGATTCTTTGAAACAGTAAGGGATGAAATGAACTGTAACCTGAAGCTAATCCATACCAGTTCAGCACTTGTACCTTCCAGTTTAGTACAGCAATTCCCAAAATTCTGAGTTGTTCCCTGCTATCAATCTGTCTGGAAAATTTCCATTTTCTGAGAGTTGAGGTTTTGACCACTCATAAATATGAAGATGCTTTTAGAAGTAGCATACTGCTTATTATGGTAATATTTTATCAGATTGCTGTAGAAGAAGATTGAGTGGTTTGATTTAAGAGAATAAGCAATACACAGTAGTTTAGGAGTACTATTTTTTAGACAATATTCAACTTCTTATTGCTACAAAATTACTCTTTCACACTCTCTATTCAAATGTTGTTGTTTGGTTGTCTGTATATTGTCTTTCACCCAGGAACTTTTCTGTTTCATTCTCTACAGCTGAACAAGTCTCTTGATACCTTAAGTGTTCCATTTCAAAGACTTCCTAGCAGCAAATAGTGCCAGCTGAAATCTGAAAACATATCTAGCACCTCTTCAGTGAACTATTACAGATGTCCTTTAGCTATATAGGTTGAGTGGAACTTCAGTTTTGTAGTGATGTAGAGCTTTGAAATATTTGTGCTGACTAGCAGAATATAAATTTATACACCACTCTTGGGAACATGAGGATTAATTGCATCGACTTTCCATGCATCTTTCTGATGCTTTGGGATTTTCTTTTTTTTTTTTTTTCTTTTTTAATTTCCAATAGATTCAACCTCTTAGAACCAATGTTTTATATTTTTAAGTGCATATTCCAGGGTATTGATGTGAAGTTATATATTCATCCTTTCTGCTGGCCTTTCTCAGAATGAACTTGTACATAGGCTTTTAATTAAAGTATCTTTGGGATAATGTGCAGGGTATATGTTTTGAAAACTCTAGTGAATGGCTAATATTGCTGTTAGTGCTGTTGCTGATATGAGTAGCTCAAACTCCTCACAGAATCTTGAGTTGAATGGTTTGGCTCTTGAAAAGAACAGTTTCTGCATCTTAAAAATCCCATAGCTACCTTCTAAGAGGAGGGAAAAAGTATGTTTTGAGGGTGATTGTTCTGCACATTAACATGTTTCCCCACTTGTGTTCATAGAGAATCTCACGCCTGGTAGATCAGCTGTACTGGAAACACACTTCAATATGGTTGATAATGTTGCTGGTTCCTTGTGTTGATAACATAGGTATAGGAAGTTACCGAAAATTTGTTACCACAGAGAGTGTGTTATGCCCAGCGTACCAGAGTCATGCCCACTTTCTCTTCTCACATCTTAAAAATAAATGTTTTCCGGAAGGTGGAAGTTGAAATTCTCCATTCACCTACTACAGTTTTTAAAGCGAGCAGCTGTACTGGTCTCAGTATTTTGATGTGCCAAGTGTTTTTAGTTTGATTTTTGTGGATTTTTTTAGTCGCTTACCTAGAGGACCAATTCCTGAATAAATAGAGGTCCTGAAGAAATACGGTTATGTTTTGATGCTTGCTTATGCCAGATTTCAAGGCTATCAGTTTGTGATGGTGGCTATTTGAGAAGGTGCTTGTTGCCATTTTCACACAGTGCTGAGGGAGTGTTTGTTTTACTAACTTTTTTTGTTATTATTTTGGAAGACTTTCAGTGCTTTTCCTGTTGTTGGTGTGATTTAAAGTTTCACAAAACTCCCCAAATGGTTGATAGATAGTAACAGCTATATTCTTTCACTAGCTGAAGCTTAGGTGCCTGAACAGTACTCTATAAGTTAAAATCTCTTGTTCTTACTTAGTCTTGCTTATTTGTGAACTTAAATTTGAAAAAAAAAGACTGGTCCTGGACCCTGTTAGGCTTTATATTTGATTCTAATCTCCAATTTAGAGGTACAGCTATAATATGAAGCTGCCCCTTAGTAACTTAAACTTCTTTGATATGTATTGGGTGTAGTTGCTCAACTAGTGGAGCTGTCTCTTTGGACTCAGGAAGACAGAAATGCACAAGTCGGAAGCAGAAGGTTCCCTTTGTGGTTGTAATGGCTTAAAGGTCAATTTTTTTCCTCCCGCCCAATAGAGACAACTCATTAGATGTTCTGAAGATGATTATTACACATCCTATTTCTAAACGAACCTCCTTTAAAAGAGTGCAACAAATAAAAAAAAATAGTTCTAGGCTTGCTGCCCAGTATTTACTACACATCATTTTGGTGTACAGACATACATTTTTTTTGTCTTTATGCTCAAGCATCCCCCTCCAAAAAAAAAAAAACCCTATCTTGCAGCAAAAAGATTGTATTATGGAGGAAGATAGTAGAGTGTATTACAAGAACATCTTCTGTAGGATGTCAAAATGAATAAGACACAGTGTGTGCATTTGACCAAAACATTTAAAATAAACAAAATTTAAAAAAAAAGGTGGAAAAAAAGTTATTTCTGTGTTTTAGTAATTGGAGTTACTTGCGACAGCAGTAGTTATAAATATTTTGAGGGTGAATAATCACAAAACACTGCTGCTATTGGGCAGCTCAACATTTTTGTGGACAAAAAGATCGTCAGCATAAACTTCATCTGAATTTCAGACAAAGGTTCATGATGAGTCAGATCTTATGCTGCATTTTACTGTAATGCTATGATAAAGAAGCTGTCCAGCCTGGATTTCTTTTACATTGCTATGTAGCAAGATGTTCTGCTAACTTAGTCTCAAAGTAACTCAAAGCCAAGCAGAGACTGGCCTCCTAGGAGGCTTGGTATGCCAGACTGAAGATGTGCTTCAACTTTGAGAGTCGGAAGAATGAAGAAAACTCTGATCTACTTTGCTGCTACTCTACCTCTTTGAGTTCTGTGCTTCAGAACAATCCTGGTCAGGGTCAGTGTGATTGCTTGGGTACTTCTCGTGCACATAATTCTTCTCTTTGAAGGCATGTTGTTTTGGGCGATTTTTTGTAGGTTTTTTTTTTCTTTTTTTTTTTTTGTAAGAAAATTCTACTTAAGGAATTATATCCGTTCTTAGACAATTGCTTCTAGTGTTGTTTAGGAGTATATTTTAATTGTAGAATCAGTTTGTATTGCTCATTTTTAAGATTTATACTGAAGTTACATAATTAGTTTATATTTAAAATGACTCTTTAATGGCCCAAAGTGCTTCCTTTAGGTCAAGGATGATTGGGAAGTATGAGAAAAGTCATGAACATCACTGGAAAGTAGTGGAATGAACACGACATATCAGAACATGAGCATACATGTAGTGAAGAGATCTGAATATGGATACGTGAATATATACACACTCATGTGTATGTCTAATCTGTATTAACAGGGGGAAAAGTCACTGTTTTTTTGTTTTTGTCTCTTTGTTTTTAAGGGCTCACAGTTTGTCTCCAACGGATCATCTGGCAGCATTTTACTTGGCACTGCAGCTTGCCATATCCAGACAGGTTAGTTGTGTTTTAAAAGTGCAGCCTCACAGTGTCATATGAAGATTAGAATTTGAATTTGTTGATGGACACCGATGAAGATTTCTTCATTGAAGACCTGTTTTTCCTTGTGCATATATGCATATATATGAAAAAAAAAAAAACCACAAACCAAAATATTCTCAAATATTCTCTCCAAACACTTTCAGTCTTGTACACTTCTCCAGAGTTCTGCCACAGTACTTCTAGCTCTAGGATCAGAAATAGGACACAAGTCATTCAATTTCTTTAGTTTCAGCATTTATGTTGCTGGATGGGCAGGAAAAAGAAGTCAGTTTTTACCCTGTTTTTACCTGTTATGTGTAATCTCTGCTCAGACTGGTTACTTGGAGAGTGGGACTCTTGAATCTAGTCTATAATGATCTTGACAGTGCTTAAATCTTGAGTATCTACTAGTATCTGTGCCTTTTCTGAATACTTGTAGGAGATTTGGTTATTGTGAACAAAATTACAAAAATGTGTTTAAGAAAACTGGAAAATATTTTAAAGCCATAAGAGATCAGAGCTCAGTCCAACTTGTACAGCTGTTATATTTAAGGGATTTAGAATTCTACGGTATATCACATGAATTTGGATAATGTGAAGCTGCTTTGTATATGTCATGTAAGCCTCTTCCTGTGTCAAGTTTATTTTAGGAAGTAGTTTTGAGCACAGTAGTTTACATATTCTAGGTGACTCCTTTGCATTACTAATGAGTAGCAGAGACATTGGACTATGTCACATTAAAGTGGAATGGATTGTCACTTTAATAGCATAAAATAATTTTCAGTAGCAAGTTATTACTCTGTACTACAGAATTCCAAACTTCTCATGTTGCTTAATTAAATTTCCTGGTTTTAACAGTGTGTTTATTTAGAGCAAAAAACACATGCAACTGAGGAGGTCATGAAATTCCACATCAAGAAAAATTACTGTTGCAGTCTAGTTGTACATTTTAGTTAATGTATTACAATTAAAATATTTTCAAAATCATATTGAAATACAACCAATACTTGAAAAAAATAGTAAGTGACTATTTCAAAGGGCTGAAGGGAACTGTTTTATTAAAACGTGTATCTTATTTTCCAGGGTTAATACATTATTTGATTTTTACTGTTCACTGTAAAGCATCAGGTCCATTTTAAACTTCTGAGTAGTGTCTTACAGGAATCTATAGAATTCTACATGGTATCCAGGTGAATATTTTGAAAATTTTATGGATGTGCAATCAAGTAATAGGCAATACTTCTAATAGTGCTGCTTTCTTGTTCTGCCTTTTTTTTTTTTAACAGATACCAGAAGCTTTGGGTTATGTTCGTCAGGCTCTGCAACTACAAGGAGATGATGCCAACTCTCTTCATCTCCTTGCACTCCTGCTATCAGCCCAGAAACACTATCATGATGCTTTGAATATCATTGACATGGCCTTGAGTGAATATCCAGAAAACTTTATGTGAGTGAATGTCGTGTTTGCTTTCTACACAAAGTATTTCTGAAGTTGCAGTTCTCTCTATTGTAATTCGAGAACAAAGGATCATTCAGTAAAATGTTTAAAATTACTCTTGTGAGGATTCAAAAGGTGTTTATGGGTTTTTCAAACATGCTTCATGACCTTTCCATACTTGTTTATAACCGCATCTTGTGGTTAAACTTGTCGCCTGAGTTGTTTTAAGAAAGTACTGATCTTTCTATCAATGTATGTATGTATATTAATCATATGGGTCATAATAGTCATTCAGATTGTTAGTACTGTTGTATAATACACACACCATGGTGATACAGTGTGCTATGTTACAACCTACTGGTACAGATCAAGGAATTTGAGGAATACCTTGGCAGTAGGAATCATCATCAGATGTGGCAACAATTGCTGAAGAATCCAAGGTGAAACACAGCTGTGTGCATCTCTAGACAGTTTTTTAGAGTCTTGTTTTTAGTGCTATCAAGTTACTTCTGATTCCCAGAGAAATCAAGGATATGACTGAGATTCCTTGTGTGCTCTCTGCAATTGCTAGTGACAGCCAGCCAGATACATCTGGTCAGTAATATAAATTTGCCTTGATTTCTTCATGTAACTGGGTAATTTTTGCAAGGATTTATCAGCAAAACTTCAAGTTTGCAATCTGTCTTGCACGCTGTATCTGATGCTATTGAAATGATTGACAGCTTGTATGTACATATATGTAAAATATATACCACATATACTTAGTGTATCATTGATTCCACTTTCTTATTCTGCAACTTCTGTAAACAATATAATCTCACAGTACTTCCTAGCAGACTGAGAAGACATCCTCTTGTGTGCCTCTAAGTCTTGCTAATTTTTTGATTATAATAACATTTGATTATTCGCCTATGGTACTTTATTGGCTTTTTTAAGCACTTCAGATATCATGAAGTTTTATGTTTTATCTTTCATTTGTGTCTGCCATCCCAGTAAGCTGAATAGTACAAGAGTTTGCTTGATATTCTCTATATTTCTGTTAGATTCTATTACCTCAGCCTTGTGCAAAATGATACTTTGGTGGCTTTACAGCATAATAAATCTCTGTACTTGGAAAATATTACAGTAAAACATAAGGCTTGTGATTTATGTTATTTCTCATTTCTTTTAGTTATTCTTATATGCATACTTCTGTATACTGCATTGCTACACTGAGTGCTGTCCTGCCCTGTTCACAGCTATATGTTCTTTTTGTTTTGCTTTTCTTTGAAAAAAATCTAAATTTTCAGAAGTTTGTGATACTACAGCCTTGTAAAATGCCAGAGGTTGCAAGGAATTCATAGAATACACTGTGAGTCATGCTGAGAAGTGGATACTTTCCAGCACTCTTCTCTTGCAGTCAGTAAATATGTTGCCTGTCAGTTTTTAACCTTTGAAAATCTCATGCGTTCCTACAATTCATGTTCAATATTTGAGGCATATAGCAAGCATACCTTCATATCTTAAATTAGCAATAACCTTCCTGCACTAGAAAGCTAGAAAGTTGCTGAGCAAATGTGGCCAATCACGTAATTATATTGCTCCGTGCACCTCTAGGTTAGGTGGAAAGAAAGTCCTCAGAGCCAAAGAATTCTATCCCATCATTATCTAACAGAGTGGAAGGAATGAGCAAACATCACGTTTTGCTGTTAGCAGCAAGGTATAGCATTTTCTTTGAATAGTTTTGATTATTCTTCCTTTGTTTGTTGTATTGACACCATAAATATGCAATCTTCTCTGAGACCTTAAGCGGTATAGGAAAAAACTATTGGTGAAAATAGAAAGCTCTAAAAATGAAATAGGTATGTAGTAATGATTTCCAGAAATAATCAAAATGCCGGATATTTACTGAATACAGCACTATCAGTTCAAACTTTTTGTAAGCTTAAAATGCAGCTGAGTTGTAACCACTCTACTTATAAACAAGTTAGCTGTGTTTTTCAGAGCAATACAATCAATCTGCTTTTAAATGCTAGCTAACCTCTGAAGCCTCCTGAAATCTGAGTGCTTTGATCCAGGGACAAAAAGATCTCTAGATAAAAGATTACTGAACAGATTAAGATTACTGCAAAGATTATGAATACCCTGCTCTGGCGAGATAAGTGGGAGTAAGGTACCAGCACCGAAAAATCTGAATAGTTAATCTCAGTCAGGTCCTACTGCATTCGAATTCATCTAACGTTACACTGTGTTTTCCCCACCTTTCATTGGGTAACTTGTCCCTGTAGTAGAAGTGCAAGTTGAGTTCTTCTCAAACTAGACCATCAAACCATGTGGGAGACTGGGTGTGAGGATCCATTTCTCCTCTTGAAACAGAAGCAGGGACGTGCTGCCCTGAATGCAAAGAGAGTAGGTGGGAAGGAGCCACAATATATTCTAAATTACTAGAGTACTTAACTGTGAGGGAGGCTTGAGATCTTAGTTGCTTGGATTTTCCTTGAATTTTATTTATTTTAATCCAATGATTGCTCACTCTGAATGTATAAGCAGCCCCAGAGCTGTGCATTGCAGTCTGAAGGTGTATTCAAGGTGATGTAAAGTAATAGTGGTTGCGTTGCATTGGTTCCTATTGAGCTTGTGTATCTTGTGCAATATATATAGTGTACTTATATGTGCCATTACCTGAGGAGTCTTATTTAGAAACTCCTTTCCATGACTCTTTCCTGTCTTTTTATCTGCTTGTTAGGAGGAATCTGTATCTTATTGGTCTTTTGAGTGATATGAAATCTTGAAACAACACTTTCATCTGTTTCTACTTTATGGTTAGTCAAAAGTAGATTTTCAGTCAAGGGAGACAGGTTTCTTAACAAAATGCTAGTGATATTGTTTTCTTAATCTTAGCAATTTGGAGTTCCCTTGTTATTTTGAGTGTTGGAGCACTTAAAGATGCGTATAGTGCCTGAAATTAGTGTAATTAGGCAAAATAAAAAATAAATATTAATTGTTAATTTTATGCTGAAAATTGAAGTGCAGTGGAGAGCCGCTGACAAGCTTTTAAAGCAGCAGAAGTATGGAACAGCAGATGGGTTATTTGAGGAGCACGAGCATGTTATTTTAATGTTAAGTACACTCAAAAAGGAAAGACATATGGTAACAGGTTTGAAGACAACTGAAGACTAAGTTCACAGTTTAAACATTTACATTTGTTGAAGTGTGATGGAAATTTTTTTTCTTCCAAGAATATTTCACAGAAGCATCAGGCCAATATGTCACTCCTCTGAAAACTGTTAAATCCTTTCCTTCCTGACCCTCAAGGACTCTTTTGAGCTACAATAGATTTCCCAGAGTCTTAGAACCTTTTAATAATCCCTCTCAGTTCATTAACAAACTTGTTTCCTACTGGAAGTGGTCTGAGTGGGCGGAACAGAAAAGCTGGTTGGTACATGCAGTGCGTGATGATACATACACTGATGTTTTGTGGGATAGGGGTGTATTTATCAATCAAAGGGAATAGACTACACTGTTGTTTTCCCAAGGTGGATTGTAGTTGCACTACAGTGTGTGGTGCTGGTTAAACCTGCACGTTTTTTTTTTCCTTGATAAATAGAGCACTGGGAATTATTTGAGGAAAGGGCAGTAATATATGATCGGACAAGAAGTAGTGATCTACTGGGCTTGCCAGAATCATGTCCTTCAGATTGGTGTGTGCATTCTTGTCAGCATTTGACAACATGCTTTTTCAAATCCATACCATTTTGATCCTATCTTCGGAGTTAAATGAATTTGTTCTCAGGAATGATTTTTCTGTAAGTCATGAAAGACAGTATCAGTTGCTTGTGTTTTTTCTTTTTATGCTGGGTTTGTCTCCCCCCCACACTCCCCTTTAGTTGTTATGTGCTTTTGCAGAATGGTCCATTAAAAAATATGTTGTTGATAGGTAGATATTACTTTATATAACAAATTGTTCATTGGCCTCAGGGTTTTATCCCTGAATTATATTTGCTAGGCTGTAGATTCTTTGAAACTTGATTGAAAGAGTCCCAGTTTGGGTCATGAGCTGGCTGCCGCAGGGAATTCGAGGAAGGAAAACAGAAAGTTTTCAAGTATAACTAATGTGTTCTGGCTTTAGTCAGAAACTATCTTCATTATAGTTTACAGAATTACATTTTCTTAAGGACATTGAGTTCATAAGATGGAATACAGTATAAATAAACTGCACCAAAAGTCACAAGACTGACTGCTGCTTTTCCTTGCAGAGAAGCAATGCTACTGCTTTGTGAACAAATATCTGAGGAATAATATTTCGAAGAGTGCAGCGGAAGCCATCTGTGCACACCAAGGATACCTATTCATGGTTTCCATAAAATTGTTTATTTGGAGGCTTGAGGGCTTTTTTTTGTTGCATCTTTTGCTTGTTTGAGAGTCAGGCTTCAGATAGCAATCTGAACTGCCTGTTTTTTACTACTTCTATGTTTCTGTATGTATATGGGCTTCTCACTGCTGGAGGTCTGTGCAACCAAAGTTGGAGGAGATCACCCTTATGATTAATACTGACACTACAGAAGTCTGTCCCTTTTCCTGAATCACTTGGGACAGGTTTCACATCTTTTGAGTATGCTTGGTGTTTGTATGCGAAACAGTTTAGGAGACATTTTTTATTAAGTTAAATGATTTTTCTGTGTTTAATTTCCAAAATTGAATTTGGTTGGTTGACCTCCTGTTGCTGGTGTTGGACATTCAATGATTCAGTCAATTGGATTTCCTGAAGGAACAGAATTGATAGGAGCAGATGAAAAAATAATCTAAGTAGACATTGCTGATAGTTGTGTTCGGTAACATCTTCTCAATAATTGTGTCTTGTTAGCTTGCAAATACGACTTGGATAATTGAGATTCATTCCTGACTGTTGGCACTTTGAACAAAAATTAGAAGCAGATGTGATTAATTTGGAAAGAGGAAACTGGCTTCAGGATAAGGCGAGAGAAATTGATTGGGTAGCAATGTCACAGGAATTAAAAAAAATCACCAGG